TGTGCTGCGGTCGACTTTATAAGAAGCGCCCCTATCTCCCGAAGTAAGAGTGAGGGGCGGAGAGTCAGGCAGGGAGGAGGGAGAGCAGGGAGAGTCTGCAGAGACTGAGTGATGCCAAAATGCAAAAAGTTGGAGGTGTAACATCACTGAGCAGCAAAATATGAAAGATGCAGTTAGAAATACTCAGCTGAGCCTCCCGTCGGGCTCAGTCTGGGTGACCCCGATCTTATCTCCATCATCTACCCCCCACATCCTCCCTGTGTGTCCAGCAGGAACAGACCTCAGGCTCTGTGTCCTGGCAGCACTGGTCTTAATAAACCTCCCACTCGATGAATCATCAGATCAGCAGGAGAAAGATAACTTCAAGCTTTTTATTCAGTGACTCTGAGCTCAGGACACACAAAGAGGAGCTTTAAAAGGGAAACATGAAAGTGATATAACTCTTCCACTGATTAAACATGTTAAACATGACCAGAGTTTCTAATGATGACGCCGCTGCAGGTAAGAGAAGTCCCAGTGAGCTCAGGCTGATGAAACTCTCAGCTCATCAGTGTTTTCTGCTCTGAGATCTGAGGGGATAAAAGCCCCGCCCACCTGCTTTTCAAACGTTCTTTTTAAGAGGGGCAGCCAATCAGAAGAAAGGAAGCTTAAAGGGGAGGAGCTAAAACGTAGAATAAGCTCCACAAGTTTGATTTTGGACTGAGTCATGCAAAGCTGCTCTAGGAGAGTAAAGCATGACGCCGGACGGGACTCGTGATGCCAAACGGTTTGTTTTGTGCGGATTACGAGACAATAAGTAAAGATGGCGGATCCTCAGTGTGTTACAGTGGGCTCTTTGGTAGTTGTGTAGGTTTCTTTTGTTAGTTTTGATGGTGTCACCACACTATTTCTCTTTGTGATTCTTAATTATCTCAGTGCTTCTACTCGCCTTACAAACTCAGAGGAAAAACTCCCACCAACAGCTGCAAGCAGCAAAGATCAAACCTGGGTTTCAGTGTTCAGATACTCTATCCAGGGAGCTTTTCCAGCTCTCTTGAGAAATGAGTAAAATAACTTCTTGTTACTCATTTCTGCAGAAGAAGACGTCCGGTTCAGAGACTTAAAGGAACTGAGCTGAAGTCTAACAGGTAGTCACGAGCTACAGCTGCCTGTCAGACAGACGAGTTCATCACCCCTGTGCAGTAGTCATGAAGTGGGAAACGCTGTAAACATGTTTATTTCTGGGAGTCTGCTGGGACGGATTCATGTTGGAGTGGACATCAGAGGAAATGAGCCTTGGAGCCCTCTGCTGCAGTCCTCGCTGTGCACATTTTCACTCCCTCTGTGGATCTTTTGTGTCTCTTTATAGATGTTTTTTGCCTTTGTGCTCATCTGACACATCGGTTTATAGAGCGAGAGGCCACATCGCAGGTTCCCCAAGCAGCAGCACACACAGTGTTTGGTCTACACTAAACTCCTGCAGTCTCAAGGTCTACAACTCAAACTGGCCCTAACAAAGATATGAACACAACAGGCTGCTCACTGCGTGTGTGTGTGTGTGGGATTATCACTCAGATACCAGACACCGTGTAGAAATGTCTAACAGACC